CCCCCCCCCCCCCCCCCCCCCCCCCCCCCCCCCCATCAGGGCCTATATATACACATTCTTTGCAATCAAAAAACTTCAGCAAACCCTTCTCTTCTCTCTTTCTATACATCCATTGTTATAGAAGCTTGAAAGAGAGAGCATCCATGGCTGTTTTGACAGTAGTTATTGGTGTTGTTTTGGGACTTTGCCTCTTGAGCACTTTCCTTTTGAGATGGAATGAGATGAAGTACAAGAAGAAAGGCCTACCTCCTGGTACCATGGGTTGGCCACTTTTTGGTGAGACCACAGACTTCCTCAAACAAGGCCCCAGTTTCATGAAGAACCAGAGAGCAAGGTTCATTGAATTCTTTCTTTCTTTTTTCCTTTTCATTTTGATGTATAAAAAAGCAACCATTTTTCTTTTCATCTTCTTGAAAAAACCCAACTCAAAAATGCACCATTTTGCACTTTTTTCTTGATGATCTTGAAGAACCCAACTCACCACAAGTGCATGATTTCTATCTGGGTGTTTTGTGGTTTCACCTTTTCCTTGAAAAACCCAACTCAAAAAATGCATCACTTCCATCTGGGTGTTTGGTAATTTCACCTTTTTCTTGATCTTCTTGAAGAACCCAGCTCAAAAATGCATGCTTTCCATCTGGGTGTTTTAGTGATTTCACCTTTTTTCTTGATCTTCTTGAAAACCCCAACTCAGAAATGCATCATTTTCTATCTGGGTGTTTACTGATTTCACCTTTTTCCTTCATCTTTTTGAAGAACCCAACTCAAAAATGCATCATTTCCATCCGTGTCTTCAGAAATTCCACTTTTCTCTTGATCTTCTTCGAAAACCCAACTCAAAAGATACATGGTTTCCATCTGGGTGTTGAGTAATTTCTTCTTTTTTCTTCAAAACCTCACCTATGGTTCTTGATACAGGTATGGAAGTGTGTTCAAATCACATATATTAGGATGCCCAACCATTGTTTCAATGGATCCAGAGCTGAATAGATATATTCTCATGAATGAATCCAAAGGGATTCTTCCTGGATACCCACAATCCATGCTTGATATCTTGGGCAAATCCAACATTGCAGCTGTTCATGGTCCTGCTCACAAGAACATGAGAGGTGCTTTACTATCACTTGTTAGTCCCACCATCATCAAAGACAAAATCCTCCCAAAAATTGATGATTTCATGAGATCCCATCTCTCTAACTGGAGTCATCAAGTCATTGACATCCAAGAAAAGACCAAAGAGGTGCTTCATTCATCTGTACTGTACAACTCTTCACTGCATTCACCTTTCCCCTGCTTTCATTCTCATCTTTCTTTACAAAATTTTCATCACAGATGGCTCTTCTTTCATCACTCAAACAAATTTCTGGGATTGAATCTTGCTCATTATCTAAAGAATTCATGCCTGAATTCTGTAAACTGGTTTTGGGAACACTTTCACTTCCAATTAACCTCCCAAACACAAGCTATCATCGCGGGTTACAGGTACAAATAACCGATTCAAATTCATGATTCATTGATGAATAACGAAATATTCACAGGAATTGAAACTGAATCAAGGAATGTGAATGCAGGCAAGGAAGAACATAGTGAGAATGCTGGGAGAATTGATCGATGAAAGACGAAAATCTCAAGAAACCCATGAAGATATGCTGAGTTTATTGATGAGTGGTGTGGAGAACAGATATAAATTGAGCGATGAAGAGATAATCGATCAAATCATCACGATTTTGTATTCTGGGTATGAGACAGTTTCGACTACTTCGATGATGGCTGTCAAATACCTCCATGATCATCCAAGAGTTCTTGAAGAACTCAGAGTAAGTCTCGTTTTTGCTTCTTGAAATTGGGTTTTCTTTTACACTAATTTATGCAAAAATCTGGGTTTTTTTACATGAATTTTCGTAAAAAGATTGGATTTTTATGAATAAATCGATGGGTTTTTTCTTGTAGAAAGAACATTTGGGAATCAGAGTGAGAAAAATGGCAGAGGACCCACTTGATTGGGATGACTACAAGTCCATGAAGTTCACTCGTGCGGTAGGTTTTGATTATTAATTAATTCATTAAATTCGAAGGAATTTATGTAGATTTTCTTTGAATAAAAATTAATTTTTAATTAATAAATTCATTAATTTATATTATCATAAATGGGGTGGTGCAGGTGATCTTTGAGACCTCCAGATTGGCAACCATTGTTAATGGAGTTTTGAGGAAAACTACAAAGGAAATGGAACTCAATGGTGAGTGTGTTTTTTTTTTAATTAAAAATTAATATAATTTATTTTTTAAATAATATGAAAAATAGGTGTTAAAATGGTATATAATTAATTAAATAAACATGTTTAATTTAATAATAGAATCTTTTATTGTCCACCCAAAAATAAAATATTCAAAAAATAAATTAATTAAATGGTTTTAAATTACTTTTTATATTTAAATATTAAAAAGTAATGCTAACTACAATTAAATTATAATTTAACTTTTCTTGAAAAGGAATCAATATTTTTTCTACATAGTTTAATAAATGATGCTCATTAATCACCCATTGGTCTTTAATTTTTATTTATTTTATAATAATAAATATAATTGTAAAAAAAGAAAAGCCATAATTATTTTAAATATATTATAAAATCATTTACATTTGTACAACTAATGCATCTCACTCTTAACCGTCTATTTAATTTGATGAATATGTGATTTTATAAAAATTTTGATTGTTTTCTGATATAAAGTATTGATCATAATTAATGAATCTTAGTCAACTTCCATAAATATTCAAATCATACAATAAATATCTCAATTGATTGAGGTTGTATTGATTGTACAAATAAACATGGTTGTATTTTAAATATATTATATATATATATATATATAATTATTTGAAATACATATTAAAAATATATAATTTTTAGCTTTTTTAAGAGGGGTCTTTGGGGGCTCGATATGCTGTAAATGGTGTCATCATCTTACTGTGGACCCTACCACATATCATAATCCACATGGCATACCTACTCATCCAGCTTGGACTACTTGATCCATGACCCATCTCATCTTTTTTTTAATTCAATTATTATTATCTTTTTATCTATGTTTTTTTAATAATTCAAAAAAAAAAACCCGAACCCGTAACCGATAACGACAAGTTCCAAACTCAAAACCCGTAAAACGTAGCAGCGTTTTCTCTTATTTTCCGTGTTTGCCACGACTGATTTGAACTTTTCTCGACAGGATTCGTCATTCCAGAAGGATGGAGGATATACGTATATACACGAGAGATAAATTACGACCCGTGTCTGTATCCGGATCCATATACTTTCAACCCCTGGAGATGGCTGGTGCGTATCGCATTTTATACGAACTACTGACCTTTTCTTAATAACCAAAAAAATTAATTCGGTTTTTTGGTGACGGGATGTAGGACCGCAACTTGGAGACCCAGAATTACTTTTTCATCTTTGGAGGCGGGACGAGACAGTGTCCCGGAAAAGAACTTGGCATTGCGGAAATTTCGACTTTCCTTCATTACTTCGTAACCAGATACAGGTATTTTCCGCTTTCGAAAAATTTATTAATTATTTATTAAAAAAATATTAATTTAATGGGATTTAAATGGGAAAATGCAGATGGGAAGAAGTTGGAGGAGATGAACTCATGAAATTTCCAAGAGTTGAGGCACCAAATGGATTTCATATTAGGGTTTCTAATTTAAATAAATAAATAAATAAATAATAAATAAAAATTGTATAAATGATTGATAGTAGTAGATTATGACACATTAATTAGATATTGTACAAAATAATTTTCTAACAAAATATAGAGTTTTATTTTCATATATATTTTAATGAAAATTGTCGTTATTTATGTCAGTGTTTTGTTTTTTTTATATCTGTATTATGAATGACTGAGTCGTTTGTTAATTTCACGCGTCGTAATCGTATGGAATTCGATTTGTTTGACTAATCATGAGTTTTATAAAATTATCATCTTGTAATTTTAAAATCAACTGTAAGGACGAAAAGTGTTATTTTCGAGAAAATGCAAAACGGGAATAAACAACAACTCTAAATGGGCTTAGCCCATTTCATCTTGGGCCTTGCATGGACTGAAGTCTGAAAATGGCCCTTAGAAATTAAAATAAACTTTACAAATATTTTTTACATTTAATAAATTATTATTTACCTTTTCTATAGAGCTGTTTACGGACGGGATGACCCGTTAAACCGGTTTTATCCGGCCTGATAAAAAAGCGGACTAGGATTACCATTATCGAAGAAATGGATAGGGCCTGAACTAACTTGTTAAAATTAATGGACAAACATGTGCAATGAAAAATATATTTGGCCATATGCCCGCCAGGCCCATTAATATTTTTATAGTAATTAATTTTTATAATTAAAATTTACAAATAAAATTGAAAATTCTTAATATTTATCAATACTTCGTATTTAGGGAAACAATTTCCTTCTGAAATATGTATATTGTTATGTATTTACGTCAAATTTTAAGTTGGAAAAATTGTTATATATTTTGAATAATTTTACATAACTTGTGATTTTATATAAGTTCTATTTTCATAAAAATATAACAAGATTTTTAACCCTGTTAGCCCGTGAGCAAACCCGACCTATTTATCGGGCGGGTATGGGTAAGTTTTCAAGGCCATAAAAAGGGGCTTGGTTTTACCATATTAGGTCTCATTGGACAAAAAAAAAATAGGTTAAGCCCGGCCAGGGTCCAGCCCAAGACCGCAAATGATCAGCTCTACAGTTTCCTATACATTTTAAGTTGAAAAAGTTCTACTGGTTAAAATATAAACAAATAGTTATTTCTCTCTAAGCTCTATTTATATCAGTGTTTTAGGACATTTAAATATATTTGAAATCTTATAAAGTCAATATTACTGTAATGCATGATATCAGTAATCTTGAATCGAACACTTTGTATTCACCATTTATGGTTGTATGATGCTTACAGGAGATATGTAATAATGTAAACCTATACATATAGCAAAGCTAGCAACCCATTTGTAAGCCTAAAAGAAAGAGTGTATTAAGACATAATTCAAAAGAATGCACAACGGTTCAGTCGATGTTATTTGGAGTTGGCGATCGAAACAGGTGAAAGATAAGTTAGGGAAGATCGAATCCGTATTTTATGAAGCTTGTGGACACCATGGCAAATGATTTTTGCAATTAGAATCAAGAAAAGGTATGTTTTTTTATATGGTTTTTGGAAGTTACGTGGCTGAATTTAAGATATCTGAAACAGTTTCTCTAATTCTCAGCAGGTGTTGTTTTGATCTTGTTTAAGATGTAACACACACACACACACACACACACACACACACATATATAGAGGGG